TACAATATTAAATGAGAGTATGAAATTTACTTTCTATAAGTGAAGCAACTCACTTTTTTTTCTTCTTCTCCCGATGTGAGATTATAAAATAAATTATAAACTAATTAGAATTTTATTTTTATATTGTTAAATGAAAACTAGCCAATATTTTTTTTAATTGTTTAAAATTAAGAAAATCAGTATGAGAAATCGTGATTAAACCGGATAATTAATTGGTCAAACCAAAAACGGTACAGCCTAATCGGTTAGGTCAAATGACCAGTCAACTTTTACAACCCGATGTGAGATTATAAAATAAATTATAAACTAATTAGAATTTTATTTTTATATTGTTAAATGAAAACTAGCCAATATTTTTTTTAATTGTTTAAAATTAAGAAAATCAGTATGAGAAATCGTGATTAAACCGGATAATTAATTGGTCAAACTAAAAACGGTACAGCCTAATCGGTTAGGTCAAATGACCAACCAACTTTTACAAAAATTAATTAATTAAAATTTTTAAATGATATTTTAATTTTAAAATTTAAACTGACTTGAATTGAAACATGCACAACACTACAATATTAAGGTTCACTTTATATAAGTAAAACAATCCATTTTTTTATTATTGTTTTTCTGATGTGTGATTATAAAATAAAAGTTTATAATTATTTGGACAGAAAATTTTTTTCTAATCAAGCAATCTCAGTCGTTCAATATTTAATCAAATCATTCTTTAATTTATTTTGAATTAAACAAATCTAATCAATACATTTTAATAAAACTGCTAAAATCGTGGTTAAACCAACGAATTATTCAAATAAAAAATGATTTAATCTAATTGGTTTGGTCAAAAGACCAACCAACTTACACAAAATATAATTAATTAAAATATTTAAATTTTATTTTAAAATTTAAATTATATTAAATTGAAACACACACAAAATTACAATATTAAATGAGAGTATAAGATTTAATTTATAAGAGTATAAAATTCACTTTATAAGAGTAAAACAATTCATTTTTTAATTGTTTAAAATTAAGAAAATCAGTATGAGAAATCGCGATTAAATCAGCTAATTTGTCAAACTAAAAATGGTTCAACCTAATAGGTTAGGTCAAATGACCAACCAACTATTAAAAAAATTAATCAATTAAAACTTTTAAATGATATTTAAACTTTAAAATTTAAATTGGCTTGAATTAAAGCATTAGCAATACTACAATATTAAGGTTTACTTTATATGAGTAAAACAACTCATTTTTTCCTTCTTTTTTTTTCGACGTAGGATTATAAAATAAAAGTTTACAATTATTTGGACGAGAAGTTTGTTTCTAATTAAGCAATCTCGGTCGTTCAATCTTTAATCAGATTAATATTTAGTTTATTTCGAATTAAACAAATCTAATCAATATATTTTGATAAAATTGTTAAAATTGCAATTATACCGACAAATCAATCAAATAAAAAATGATTCAGCCTAATCGACTAGGTCAAAAGACCAACCAACTTACACAAAAATTAATTAAGTAAAACTTTTAAATTTTATTTTAAAATTTAAGTTATATTAAATTGAAGCATGTACAATGGGAAAATTAACCTGAGGTCCCTCTCCCATTTTTTGTGATAGAAGAGGTCCACAATATTATTTTGTGATGTCTAAGGTCCCTTAACCCTACACCCATATATCACAAAGAAAATTCACTCTCTCGCTCTCTCTTTTAAGCCATCGAAGGAACCACAGTTTTCAACTGGCAAGATCTCTCTCTCTAGCTCTACGTTTCTCTGCATTGGCGAGCAAGAGGAGCTGGATTCGACGAGAGTGACATCGCCGGAATCTACGTTGGCCCCAGCTCTACGTTTCTCTCTCCTACACCACCGCTTTGCCCTCACCTTCACCGTCTCTATCCTCACCAACTCATTCACTCTCCTCATCAGCTATGCTAAGAGTCAAATCAACCACAGTGGCCAAGGCGGCGACGGCAACACCAACTTACCACTTGTCACACACACACACACACACACACACACTCTCTCTCTCTCTCTCTCTCTCTCTCTCTTTCTTTCCCTCTCTCCCTCACTATTTCTCTCATCACAATCTCACTCTCTCGATCTTAATCGATCTTCTTATGCTGGCAAGATCTCTCTCTCTAGCTCTATGTTTCTCTGCCTCAGCGAGCGAGATGAGTTGGATTCGGGGATAGTGGCATCGTCGGAATCTGCGTTGGCCCCAGCTCAACGTCTCTCTCTCCTGCATCACCGCTTTGCCCTTATCCTCACCGTCTCTATTCTCACCAACTCATTCACTCTCCTTATCGGCCATGCGAAGAGTCAAATCAACCGCAGTGGCCAAGGCGGTAATAGCAACGGCGACACCAACTTACCACTCATCACACATACACACATACACACACACACATACACACATACACACATACACATACACACACAAACACATACACACACACACTCTCTCTCTCTCTCTATTCCTCACTGTTTCTCTCATCGCAATCTCACTCTCTCGATCTCAGTTGATCTCCCCACCATCCTCACATCCACTGCACCAGGCTCCGCTGGATTCAAGATCTGATCGCTGTGGGCTGAGATTTGAGCGTAGTGTCGATGATCCTTCCTTGCGGTGGCGGTGTCACAGCCCTAGGAAAAAAAAAATTCTTTGAAGAGAAAGGAAATTTCTCTAGAGAGAAATGAAGACCAGAGAAATTCTTTGAAGAGTAGGTCAGAGAAATTTGAAAGTCCAAAGAAATTCTTCAAAATTTCTCTGATGAGATTTTCTCTGTGAAGTCGAATTTTCTCTGGATTTGATTTCTATTTTTCAACTCCACCACTAATGTTTCGTTTCATTTTCTTAGGAAACAGAAACATTTTGGTTGTTTTGATGAAAAAGAACCGAATTTTGTTTCTTGGTTGTACTCAGTGCAATAATTTTGTGTATGATATGTCTAGTATGCACATTTCTTTTTGCATCAGTGCTGGTGGTGGTGGGGTGTTTTTTTGCCCCCCCCCTTTTTTTGAGTTAAAAACAATAGCTGTTAGTTACATAATCTGGAAATTTCTCTGGAGAGAAACAGAGAGTTTCTCTGGTGTAGAATTTCTCTAGATAGAATTTCTCTAGGAAGTCTAGAGAAATTTTCTGGATTAAATTTCTCTGGATCAAATTGAGGGACCTTAAATATTATAAAAATATTAAATGTCATTTATAATATAAAATCTTAATTACATGGACCTTAAAAAAAACTCAAATATTAAATGGGAGTATAAGATTGACTTTATATAAGTAAAACAATTCACTTTTTCCTTTTTCTCCTGATGTGGGATTATCAAATAAATCATGGATGAATTAGCTAGCTAATGGAGATTTTTTTAATTGTTTAAAATTAAAAAAATCAATGAAATTAGTATGAGATATTGGAACTCTCACAATACTCTTCACTAATGGAGATTTTGTTAATTATTTAAAATCAAGAAAATTAGTATGAGATATTGAAACTCTCATAATATTCCTCATTAAAACCCCCTTTTTCTTATATAATATATAAATAACTAAATTCACAAAAATTGTGACTCTCAAACATTTTTCAAATCCTTAATGCTATAATCATCATCTTTTTTGTACTAGAGTTTGTTTATTACTTTATTTGTCCAAACTGTATTAGTTTTATGTGTTCCACCACTCATGTATTAGTTTTATGTGTTTCACCACTCATGCTGGTAATTAATGTAGTATTAATACATAAAATCATAAACAAAATATGATAACAAAATATAATCATTGTAGTATATTTTGTTAAAAAAAAACAGAAAAGTGTCCATCATCAATAAAATGGTGGCCTCACAATTTTATTTATTTATTTTTATATAATAAATATGCAATCTCCATTCAACTTATCTCACATAACACAAAATATTTTGAAGTAAAAAAGACTTATAATACATGTTCATTAATAATAATAAAAAACAATATTTCATTGTTAATTTTAAACACATAAATTTGCTGGGCTGTCTCTGGTTTAGATTTGGGACAGTTTGGTCTATTGGGTTTACTTTTGGATCCATTTTTAATAATTTGAACCGTTCACATTTTATGGTCTGTTAAGTACATTATCTCTGTAAAAAATCACATCAATTAGACAACGGATACTGTGTATTTGGATCACTTCTGTCTAAAAAAATAGACGATCAAAAAATTAACGGTTCATAAAAAAGTGATCCGAATACATAGTATCCGTTATTCGATCAACATGATTTTTTACAGAGATAATGTAACCAACAAATCCTAAAATATGACCGATTCGAATTGTCAAAAATGAATTCAAAAATGAGTCCAATGAAGCGGACTAGACCCTCTAATTCAGATGGTGGACTAGAGGCAAGCCACTGCCAAGTTGGCCTCCTTTATGTACAATTTATGCGTTCGCCATTGCCTTTGGGTGTTTGGGGATGAAGTTTTTTGGTTTTTTTTTGGTTTTTTTCACTAAAAGCCAAATTGGTTACAAAACCCAAAAAAAAAATTAATCCAAACAAAATATCACATCAAACCCCATAATCATTCACTTTTTCTCTCACAAACATCACATCTAATCACAAAAAAACCCAACTATTTTTCCAAACACAAAAAAAAATTTCTCCAATAATATCCTACAACTAAAAAAAATTATAAAAAAATTCACTTCCCAAACACTCACTTTATATCTCACAAACTCAATAATTGTGGTGTTTGAAATGTTGGTTTTTTTTTTTTTTTTTTGACTATTTTAGTAGATTAAAATAGTTGTATTTGGAAAGAGAGTTAAATTTTTTTTATAATTGGATATAATATTGTGAGAGAAAAAAATCAAATGATTGTGAATTTTATATGACATTTTTTCTTATTAGTTATTTAATCTATTTTATCTTTTAATACTATTTTAAGCTAAAAAGTGAAAAAAGCCTATTGCCAAACACCCCAATCAAAGTTATGTTGATACTAGGCTCTATCATAGCTCATGCAGTCGCAATATTATTGTAGTTGGTATTCTATCACCGAGGAGCAGCACAAGAAAGAAAGAAAAATAATTTTCTCATCCCCCAAACAGGTGTGGAAGGAAAATGAGTAGTAGTACTAGTATCTGCTTGAATTCGTTAATTCCGTTGGAAATTCGCGCCAATAGTTGTCGTTCCCATCTGGGCATCTCCATTCTCAAAACCAGAGAAACAAAGTTATCAACAGTCTCCTGCACTCGTCTTCACAATTCTCAAATAACAACCCCCACCACCACCTCAAATCAACAGCAGCAGCTCAACCTCTCTGTCCTCCGCTTCACTCTCGGTTAGTCACTGCACACATCTCATCTCTCTCTCTCTCTCTCTCTCTCTCTCTCTCTCTCTAACATCATTGTGGGTCTAGGAATTCCTGGACTGGACGAGTCATATTTACCCAGATGGATTGGGTATGTTTTTGGTGCGCTTTTGCTCCTGAACCATTTCGTGGGCTCGGATTCAACCACCGCCACTCCAGCACAATTTGTAAGCTAACCCTAATTTTAATGTGCGCTAATCGTTTGAATCCATTTTTTAACCCTTTTTTGGGGGTAATTTGTCACTTGTTGTGTAGAGGTCAGAGGCTCTTGGTCTTTCTTTGGCTGGATTCTCTATCGTTCTTCCCTATCTCGGAAAATTTCTCAAGGTAAAACCTTTGTCTTGTTTGTGGTTTTCCAAAAATATTTGAAGAGTTAGGGGGAAAGGGTTAACACCCCAACTTGTCCAAATAATTGCATTAGGATCGATCGAGGAACAGATTTGCGTTTTCTTAGGTTCTGAGAGATTTATTTCACTGTATTTTATCTGTTATGCCCAAATGGGGCATACATGCTTTTGTTTTTAATTTGTTTTTCTACCTTGGTTGATTTTGGATTTATAAGATGGTCCCCCCCCCCTTTCCTTTAAAGGGTCTAATTTGTAAAATTGGGTGATGATTTATCTGCCCATGCATGATTCTTTTGGTTAATGAATTCGGTAGGGTTTGGAGTCTTTAGAATTCTGTTCCTTCGATGCTACCTGCTGGGAGATAATAGATTTGATGTTTGTGTGTTCATTTGGACAAATTAGCTTTACTTTCAGGTCATGCTGTAATATAATTGTTAAAAAACCGGCATTACTTGAGGATTAGTAAATTTTTAATCAAAGTGCTGGCATTTGATATTTTGTAATGGGTTGAATGAGATTGTCATACTTTTTGAAGTCAGGGAATGGTTAAAATTCTTCAGATTGGTGATGAACAACCTTCTAATGTTCTTAAAGATGATAAGTGTATCACTGATATGAGATGACATCTCCCATTATTAGTGTTGAAAGATTGAAGTTTTTTATTGTATCCTAATCAACCCAAATAAAGGTGGCAAGACCTGCAGGCTGTAGTAATATAGTTTTCAGTATTCTTTTCTAAACTGGCTTTTAGAATGCCTCAGCTAACCCTGTAACTGGGTTGAAATATTTTTGATTTACCCTTTGGATAACCTTTTAATTTTGATTTAAAATGTGATTTTGTCCCAAAGCCCTGTTTATATGGTGCACAAGGAACTTGCTTTAGGTATTTATGTAGAGGACTCAAGGTAGAAGTTTATAAACTAACTGTTGATGATTGCCACAATTCATGAACTTAATTGCAAATTTTTTATTTTTATTTTTATTTTTTTATCAGCAACAAAAGATTTTATTGATAAATGAAAAAAGGAACGAGGATGAGGCATCCTCTTACAAAAAGAAAATGAATGGAAGAAATATCTAACCCAAACAAAGACTATCTCAAGCAAAAATCTACACGTCACACTTCGACAACTAATCTCTAGCTAACAGAAATAGTGGAACCCCCTTAAAGAGCGAATTCACCAAAGCCCAAAAGGAAGTTAAGTGACAAATTTTATCCCACAACTAATCTACTTTCCCAGATTTATCTTCGAACAACCGTACATTTCTTTCCAACCATTGAACCCAAAAAGTTGCAAAAAGGGCACAAGACCATAGCACTTTGGCCCTCTTCGAACCTCCCATAGCACAAAAGTCAATTAGTAGCATATACGCACTACCTTTTGGTGCCACCCACATAACATTCCGCAAAAGAAACAGTTTGTGCCATAGACTCAAAACAATTGGACAGCGCCAAAATAAATGATCCAATGATTCACCATCCTTACAACACATAATGCACCACTAAGGATTTAGAAAACGATTAGGTCTTCTTTTTTGCAATGTATCATTTGTCAATATGCCTCCATGAACCAAGGCCCACATAAACACTTTCACCTTTAGAGGAACACAAGCTTTCCAAATTTTTTGCAAAAGGGAAATTGAGGAACATGAGAATTATCAATGATTTTATCAAAAAAAGACTTGCAATAAAACATTCCCGATAAATGAAGAGCCCAAACCCTCTTATCCTCTAAAGTAGGAACCAAAGAAAGATGATCAAGTTTTGACAACAAAGAAGTCAACTGTGTAGCCTCCCTATCATTAAGATTCTTAGAAAAATTGAAATTTCAGGAAATTGGAGCCAAAAGTGAACAAGTCATGGAAGCAATAGAAGAATTATGAGACCGAGCCACTCTATATAAATGTGGAAAATCCGAAGCAAAGGAAGAATGGCCCATCCAAACATCCTCCCAGAAGCGAACAAGCTCCCCATTACCCACCATCACAGACAGATAACAAGACCAAGATGTATAGATTTGAGAAATTTATTTCCAAGGAGCACGACAGTTACCCCTCATAACCACCTGTGAATCCCTGCTATTATCTTGAGTCCCATATGTGCTTCTAATAACAGAATGTCATAGTAAATCACTCTCAATTGGAAATCTCCATAACCACTTGCTAAGAAGAGCCATGTTCCTAGCAATAATGTTACCATTTGACAAACTCCGTTTCTCCTTTGGTAACGAAACTACCTCTCAATTCACGAAGTGGTCTTTCTTCCTCTCATCCTTGCCTACGCAAAGAAAATCCCTCATCAACTTTTCAATTGATCTTGCCACCTTTATTAGAATCTTGAACAAAGATAAAAGATAAATGGGAATACCGCTCATAGCTGTCTTAACCAAAGTATACCTACCCCCAATGCGAAAGTAGAGCCCTACTTTTTTGATCAACAACAAAAGCTTTATTGATAAAAATGAAAGAGGAGGAAGAGGATGAGGCATCCTCTCAATACAAAGCAATGAAAAGACAACAGAAAAAGCCCTTAACCGGCTAAAAACAAGCAAAAGCTTACAAAGCACACACTGCCAACTAATCTCTGGCTAACAAAAAGAGTGGAACTCCCTTAAATAAAGAGTTCCCCGACGCCCAAAAAGAAGATAAGTGACAAACATGATCCCATAAACAGTCCACCTCCCGAAACTTATCGTCAAACAACCTCTGATTTCGCTCCCACCATAGCACCCAAAAAATGGCAAAGACAGCACAAGTCCATAAAATTTTGGCTCTCTTCGACCGTCCAAATGTATGAAAATCAATTAAGAGCATATGCACACTCCTTTTCGGGGCCACCCACAAACCATTTCCAACACAAAACAATCTATGCCATAAATTCAAAGCTATTGGACAATGCAAGAATAAATGATCCACGGATTCCCTGCTCTTACAACACAGAACGCACCATTGAGGATTTAAAAAACGATTGGGTCTCCTTTTCTGCAATGTATCATTTGTCAAAATTCCCCCATGAACCAAGGCCCACATGAACACCTTTACCTTTAAGGGAGCACAAGCCTTCCAAACTTTTTTACAAAAAGGAAATTGAGGGATTTGAGGATTCAGAACCTCTAGAAAGGGACCTCTTGTCCTCCAAAAGAGGAGATAAAGAAAAGTGATCAATTCTAGATAATAAAGAAACCAACTGTGAAACCTCCCTATCATTAAGATTTCTAGAAAAATCAAAATTCCAAGCAATTGGAGCTAAGAGAGAGCAAGCCATGGAAGCAATTGAAGAATTATGAGAACGAGCCACTCGATAAAGATGCGGAAAATCCGCAGCAAAAGAAGATTGACCCATCCAAACATCCTCCCAAAACCGAACAATTTCCCCATTACCCACCCTTACAGAAAGATGTCGAGACCAACACGAGAAAATTTGAGAAATTGACTTCCAAGGAGCACGGCAGCTACCCCTTAAAACCACTCGTGAATCCCTACCATTGTCTTGAATCCCGTATTTGCTTCTTATAACCGAATGCCATAGTGAATCAATCTCCAGTGGAAATCTCCATAACCACTTGCCAAGAAGGGCCAAATTCCTAGCTACAATGTTACCAATAGCCAAACCCCCTTTCTCCTTAGATAACGACACCACCTCCCAATTCACCAAATGATCCTTTTTCCCCTCATCCTTACCTTCCCAAAGAAAGTCCCGCATCAACTTTTCTATTGACCTTGCTACCTTAATCGGAATCTTGAACAAAGATAAATAATAGATAGGAATTCCGCTCAAAACAGTCTTAACCAAAGTGTACCTTCCCCCTCGAGACAATAAAGCCTTACTCCAACCTTCCAACCTTTTGCCAATCTTTTCCATTACTGGAATCCAAAAAGCTTCACTTCTAGGATTACCCCCCAATGGGAGACCTAAATACTTAATCGGAAGGGACTCTATACCACAACCTAAAAGAGACGCCTATTCTGAAGTTGATCTTGCTTCATATTAATTCCCACCACACTACTTTTTCCCAGATTAATCTTGAGCCCCGAAATAAGCCCAAAAATTCTCAAGATCGAATAAAGGTTAAGTATCTGATTTTCATCCCCCGTGGAAAAAAATATAGTATCATCCGCATATTGTAAATGGGTCACACTAACTCTATCCCTCCCCACCTCCAACCCCTCAACAAGACCTGCTTCTTTAGCTCTATCAACCATTCTGCCCAAAACATCCGCCACTAAAATAAAAAGAAAGGGAGAAAGTGGGTCCCCTTGTCGAAGCCCTTGTGAAGCCCTAAAACACTCCCCTGGTTTACCATTAACTATGACTGACATATTGCAAGTTGACAAACAACCCCCAATCCAAGATCTCCACCGCCCCCCGTAACCTTTCTTATCCATTACAAAATCTAAAAATTGCCAATCCACATTATCATATGCCTTTTCAAAATCCACCTTAAACATAAGCCCCTCCCTCCCTGAACTCTTATATTCCTCCACTACTTCATTTGCCACTAAGGCAACATCTAAAATTTGTCTTCCTTTTACAAAAGCCCCCTGCACCCTAGACACCGTATCCCCTAAAGACATCCTGAGTCTTTTTGATAAAACCTTGCCCAAAATCTTATACAATGACGTTACCAAACTGATAGGCCTAAAATCTCCAATTCTAATGGCATTGACTTTCTTAGGAATTAAACAGATGAATGTGGCATTTGAGCTCAAATTAACAATCCCCGACTCATAAAATTCCAAAAACACTCTCAACAAATCCCCTTTCACCACCTCCCAACAATCTTGAAAGACAGCCATAGAAAAACCATCCGGACCTGGAGCTTTATCTCTCTCACAATCAAAAACCGCCTCTCGAATTTCTGTTTCATCAAAAGGCCTTTCAAGCCATGCTGCAACTTTCGGATCAATAGTTCCCCATTCTAGTCCTTCAATCCCCGGTCTACTCATCTCTTCCTTCGAATAAAGTTGGGAATAAAACTC